AGTTAACACCAAGACATAACAAATCTGTTTGTAATGGATTGGTAATTATTAGATTGCTTGGTGAACGGGAGTATGGTGAAGGCGTAGACGCTTGGCGGCACGAATTTCAAAATCAGTTTCTGTACCAGTTTCAACATTATTAATTTGACCCCGTGAATGATGGGTAATTTCATCTGCATGTGTAACATAAAAAACAACGAAGATGGGCGGGACGCACGCGAAGAAAGTTGCTTCAAAAAATGCTAGTGCTATATAAATCTGGTGAAATTTGCCTTTAAATCTAAAAATAAAGGTGACCTGGCGTTTCTAATTTAATAGACCCCGGTTTTTATAAAATTTTCAGTGGCATAATCTAAATTGTATTTACTTGATCACTTTTGTAAAGGCGTCTTCAAGACCCAAAAGCTCCAAGCTTTTATTCTGTTATACGTTACATTCTCGTAACAAAATTGTAATACCCACAAAAACAACACAAACACTTGAAATAAATTTTCGCGATATTTTTTATGGGGTGTGTGTAATAAATATAGCTTCAAAGTGACCAACATTAAATTATATGAAATTTAGTTATTTTACATATTGTATATGGTATGGGTAAAGTATCAAGCACGGCCAAGTAGACCTGCTCCCAGAGGTTATCAGTGCTCTGTTATCAAAAAAAAAACAAAAACGATTAATGCGTAGGAATACCTGCAGCTATGTATGACAGAATTTTAATATTTTCCATATTAAGTAACATGTCTAGTGATAATGCTTATCGGAGAAATTAGCAGAATTTAGACTAGCATATGAAATGTGTTATTTAAGTGCAGTGTGTAGGTGCAAATGTGTTTTCCAGTAATAGACGACATTTATACATATGCAACAATGATATTTTATGGCGCGAATCTGTCAATATTATGCGCACGCATGCAGGCCGTGGCACGAGATACGCGCCTATTCAAATAGTCCGGCCTATCGATGGACCGTAAACATCGTAAATCAGCAATCAGATTACTTGTAATTTTGTTCTTTGAGACATTGTAACGTTATGCTTCATTATTGTGCTTTATTCAGAATTAACTTGTTCCTTAAGGCGTTATATCAATTACATATACATTTTATAAAAAAAAACTTCAACAACAGACACTCATAATTTTGTAATATTGTCACCGGAGTTTCCGACATTTAAATGCCCCACTTTGGATATTATCGTAAATACAAATATGTATAAAGGTCTAAAATTAATAAGTTTCGTATTGTCCATGATTTGGTTCATCGTTCGGGGAGTTGTTTGGAATATGTAGTTTAAACTTTGAACCTATTAGCTAACAGTGTATAGAATTGCGGCTAATCTTTAACAACAACAAGGCCACACAGCTTGCTATAGTTGCAGGCCTCTCCCTATATTCCAGAGCCGCGCTTTTCCACGCCCAGCACGTACTTGTTGAAGGCATCGTTGAGCTGTTCCATTAGGATGAAGGTCAACACCGTGTGCGGGCCCAAGCGGAAGTAGTATGGCGTAAAACCCTTCCAAAGCGAGAAAATGCCCTCGTGACGTGCAACTCGGAGTAGCACATCCATTGTGCCCTTATACTCTGCTTTTCCGTCCACCATTTTCATGTTTTGGATGCGCGTCTTGGCAATGTCCAGCGGCATGGATGTTATCGTAGTTAGCAGTCCGCTCAGCATGCTGGCGAAAAAGTGTAGTTTGATGCCTTCGTCCATTTGTAGCGGCCCAGTACGGAAATAGCTTTTAAATTGGGAATAGCTGGCCAATTGGGTCATGTTCACCACCATGGCTCGACCTACGGTGGGCAAACAGCCGCGCCACAATGCTGTTACGCCCTCCTCGCGCGTTATACGCGCCAGAGCATTACCGACATTTTTGTAGTTGCGTCGCTCTTCCAGAGGCAGGCGTCCATCTGAGGTCATGCGAATTAGAGCCACCTCTGCTGGCGTGCCGATGAACGCACCACAGGCACCGGCTATAGTGCCCATGGCCATGCTGGCCAACACATTAGGATCGCGGTTGGTGCGAATTCGATATTCCTCGTTGAGGTAAGTGTACACACCCAGTCGGCCGGTGGTGTAAGTGGCTTGCCTAAGCAGCGCTGCTGAAAGGCCCTGGTATAATGCAAGAGGTCCCTCACGACTGATCACGGTCTGAATGCAGTGGAAGGAGTTGCGGAATTCTTTCTTACCACTACCGGCTCCGGCAATTTGCATTCTATTCTTGACAAGATCAAGTGGCTGTACGCACAGGGTTGCGCCCATGCCACTAGCACCTCCAATCAGATATTTTATACCCTTGGGCGGTGACTTCTTCTTGCTGGGCTCTTTTTCTGACATATTGACTGCGAATTTTCCGTTCACTTGCCGATTACACAACACAAAATGACTTGATTAAATGCACTGCGTCGCCAGTTTCTGTGGGCTCAGTTGCTTCCAGTTTTCAGATTCCAGTTGCACTTTTCGATGCCGTTGCAGCCGCCAACGTTGTTTTGATTTTAGCTCCCTTGACGATATTATTGTTAGGAATGTTAAAAAAAATCTAAAAAATGTTCTGCACACGCCAGCCTTACACAAATTAATATTGAATTTTTGCTTGCGGCCAGAGCGAGCAGCTGATAATGGCGGCGGGTGGCTACATACGGACACTTCCTCGTTTTATTTTTGCTTTTACTCGCTGCTAGCAGCTGCTTTCTCTCTGCCTCTTTGAATGTGAATCAATGTCACGGACGTGCGTGTTTCGTCAGTGTACTCCTATTTTTAGGCGCCACTTTTTGGTTGTTTCACGTGTTGCACTATTGCCTGCCCCAAATTGCAATTAGTTGTGCGACGAAACACAACACAAATTATATAGTCGCAATTGCAATTGAAAAGAGAAAATACCACTGTACAACAATAACAATTCGCAGTTCTGTGCAGTTGCTGCTCAGCTGATGACGTGTACAGCGACGGCGCGAGAGTAAAACAGGGTTGTCAACAACCTGTGCAGTCGACGACAGTCCATTTGTAATATATATGTATAGGCTATTATTAATTTCACCAAATGCAGCAAGGGTAACTTTGAACTTGTATATTTACAGTTATTTTTAAAAATTATCTCGAAAATATGTTCAATACAATATATTTCGATAGCAAAAAAAGTACGTGTAGTGCACGTCGAAACTGCTGACAACTCTTCGACAACCGTAGCTCGCTTTCTGACTCTCTGTGGCTCTCCCACTGGTCAAGACGGTGTTGTTAAACACTGCACAGCTGTGCCGTTTACTCAAAACATTTGCTGTCCCAACCATTTAACAGCCTAAGAGCGCACAACTTATTAAGATATACATACCTTCATAATTGGTAAAACATAACGTAGCTGCTATGTAATTACCCTGTTTATACATATGTTATTTACACATGGATGCATACATACGTATATTCTCTTTGTCTGTTGTCGATATTCAGGCAATCGTTACCGGCTTCTTATCGGGCTGCGCAATAAAAGTGTTTGCCAAAATTTTATCGTAATTGTTCTAATCAACTATGTAATCTAAACATGTAGATACTGAATCGAGTAATGATATTTTTGATTCTCTATACAATTTGTTGCTAATTGAACGTGCTCAGCTGTTTTCGTTTACAGCCCAACAACATTTTTAACGATTTTGTATGTACATATGAACAAGTGTAAATGTATAATTGAATGTAAAAGGCATATACAAGTTTTTTTTATGCATTAAGCAAAAAATACCCTCGCCACGTAGATGTACATATGTACATGTGTGATATACATGTGCATATATAAACTGATATATTAAAACGTACTAACAGTAAATACTAAGGTTGATAGAAAACTAAGAAGGTGATTTTACGTTTAAAGTATTATACTTTACCAATTTATGAGTATTTCACACGGCAGACGGACGGAACTGCCGAACCGACTTTCCACAAAGCTTTTCTGCATTTTGTGCACAAAGTATAACAACATTTAACAACATCACTACATAGAGCATGTTAATAGTTCTTTGACTAGTGGTAAAAAGTATCGTATTCCACTTCTCAGCTCGTCTAGTTTTAATTAATATTAATGTTATATGACTAGCTATTATTCTTAATTATGCTTAAGATTTTAGATACATAACTATTTTCCATCCATTTCTGGCCCGTGAAAAATTTAAATCTACCCGCACCATCTTGAACTTCATGTCTATTCCCACCTCCAATGAATTTTCTTATGGATTTTTACATACATAACTTGAGCCATTTAACCTTTGGCACGCATTTATCATCCAAGAATAGTAGATATTGCGAAAAGTATGAGCCGCGTCTCAAACGAATTTTCACACCGATCTCTATTAAATAATAGATAGAAAACATTTTTAAGCCGATCGGATGATACACAAAAAACTTCAATGCAAGTCCGTCAACTTACCACAGTCGCGAATTGAATTTCCAAAATCGCTGAAACACGTATTCATTATGTTCTTATGCGGGGTTTTAAAATTTAGTTTCAAGCAAATCGAATATAACTTTAAACATCGCTCAAAAATCATTGAATCCCATTTTTTACAGAGAAAGTTTAGATTATGCGGAAAGTGCGCAAAAAGCCTCAAACGAATTTTTATAAAGATCTTTGATCATGCCTTTTAATACCAAGGAGGAATGTATCTTCCGATAAGTGTGAAATAAAGGGTAAGTGAATTGGAACAAAGATCTTTGAAAATGGGTTCGAGGCCGATCGGGTGGTAAACAGAAAGTTTTATACAAACGCTTTCGCGATTTTTCGCGATTTGCGTGTGGAATTTCCCAAAACTGTCTATCCTTGCACCTCCATTACATAAGGAACTACAGGGTACATCTTTTTTTTTTTGGTATTCATTATGCAATGATTATGTAAAGGATATTAAAGTGATTTTACATATAGTATATTCATTTGTTTTTCATATTATGAAACTTTCAAAAAAAATAATTAAATAAAATGCAATCTTCTTGCGAAGTACTTCTAAATCTTTTTTAAAAATCATTTGTTACTGTCTGTCTAATTCGAATTTGATTTCGAAACATATAGATGTAGGTCGAATTCTATGAAATTCGTCGAATGCTTTTAATTGAAATACTAATTTGAAGCGTCCATTCATATCGCCGACATTAGTTTCCATCTTTATATCCATGAAAAAAGGCTCATACTCAAATTTGGTCTGCAAAATAAAACCAATATGTAACAATTAATTTATTGGCGTTCTAAAACTTACCCCAGGGCTTAAGCATTTGCGCCTTATTTTATTTTTATTCGTTACATATTTGAGCCAGGCCTTGTACCAATATTGATTTTCATTGTACATTGTTGGGCAAAGATTAGGTACGCTTATCGCAAATGTAGTTGGTTGCCACGAGCCACGATCGTACCGAAGCATTTCAAAAGATACCTTAAAAAGATTCAAAAAAAATTATTATTTTTTTTTTTACAACTTTTGTATTTTTAATTACGTGCAAAATCATTTTAACAAATTAAACAAAATCGTCAAAATATGTTATTGATGCAAAAAATCATTATAGCATATAGTTCCTATAATAAACTCCACGTCTAAAGTTATTTTTCTATATAGAAATTTGAAAATCAGTTAAAATAAAGAACCAAATTTGGGCATCAACGAGAATCCTGATGCCGAAAATTAAACTTTTAATTAAACAACCTCTGACTCGTAGTTTTCACCCAAGAGCGGGGGGGTTTTTATGCCATGCCAAAAATTGTGAAACAATTATTAAATCATTTTCACAAAGATCTTTGGAAATTAGTTTGAAGTCGATCGGAAGGTAAGCAAAAAAAATACAACCTTTTAAAAACCAGGGAAAACTTAAAACATCGTATGAATTTCCATAAAGATCCTTAAAAATGAATTTGAACGCGAAATTTCCCCCACCAAATCATTGACCCCAAATATTCGCTGAGGAGGATGGAATTTCAGAATTACCAAACAGTCTAATATATAGAGATTCATAAACTAGTTTTAAATTACCTGAATAATATCAGTGGGTTTAATATCCCATATTGAAGTTGAATTCCCTGATATGATTACTGGATCTGATTCTGTGTCAAAGTGTAATTCAGATAGATTAAACAATCCATGGAAACCAAGTGTATTCTTTGGCTGGTTGACGCAATTACTAAATAAATCTGCATCCTCAACTATGCCATTGTATATATATGGTTTCGACAGGCTTATTAGTCCGAGCATAAGGCCGATTAACATTAACACTGAGCGATTAAAATTCATTTTACAGTTGTGTTTTTAAGCCATTGAATTATTATAAATATATTTAATGAGTTCAAGTCGTTATATAGCCAAAATTATGGCAGTAGACACGTGTAGTCTATGACGGAACTAAGGTTCGAGTGACGATTTAATTATACCAATTCAACGATAAGTTTAACAAGTCACTCATCTGTATTTTATATAGTGCATTTTTAATCTGTGATGATGCATGGAATATTGATAATAATAGCGTATCAGAAAATCAATACACACATTTTTGTTTCACAACTTTTTTTCTACTCTTAATACGATTTTTATCATTAAAAAAATCTAAGCGAGCATGTTGATGGTTTTTTGTGGTGGGTATATGGCTAATAAGGGTATATTAGTTTTGTGAAGGATCACTATATATCTGTCTGTCCGTTTAAATGAAGCCTTAAAGCTTGAATAACTTAACTCAAAAAGTTCAAAAATAGTTCACTTCTTTCCAAATTTACACAAAGAATTAGAGATATAGCCTTTTTTTATCATATTTAAGCCCTGATAATAATTCACGATGAGCGGATATTTATCGAAATTTTTCAAGAATGAAATTTGATAGGGTGGATCTTCGTGAAGAAGAAGCACAGCAGTGTCCGGCTTTCAGCTTGCGATGGGAAGAGAGTACTTCATATATGTTTTAATATAATACATTTTTGTTACGTAAACAATTATTATTATTTTTCAATGCTTGAAAGTAACATTATTCCGTAGTTTCTTTAATAATAATTTATTGTTTACCTCAAATGTGGACCGTAAAAAAGTTTGAATAGTGGACGGATGCGTGAGCATAAATCGGGATTAAATTAAGTTTTTCTTTAAATAAGTGCCTATTCAGTGGATCCTTGGCTCACAGCACTATCGAACAAGTCCTCAAGATATTGAACCACATCACCCTATTAGCTGCATTGCGAATAGTATGTCGCTTTTACAGGTCTAAGTATCAGACAGCTGACGGCATACTAGGCATATAGCTCCAGCACCTTAAATTCAGGCTTGAGCTACACTCACAAGCGAGAGGCACCCATGCAGTCAACTTGAATGGATCGTCTCTTCTGCAAGCTGACAATACGAAGAACCTTGACCTTACTTTAAGCAAGCACCTCAAATTTCAGTATGCTTCGCTGCAACTTTAAATGTCAACAGATATACTGCTACGCAACGACTGCCACTGAGGTCAAACGAAATCCGAATCTGGAGATCATAAGCAAAAAGATCAAGATCAGTAGACTGAACACTGACTGCCAATATAGTCAATACACAGCGCTCCGAATATCCTGCTTCTCATCAAACTTTTCTTGCCGGAGCTAGTATTTAAGAGTCTATTATGTTTTGATATGTGTAACGCATAGAAGACATTTCATCCGTCTGCCTGTCTGTCTATTTCTATGCGACCTAGTCTCTCACTTTAAAACTTTGTATAGGACCGTTTTTCTGTTGCAGTATTTGCTGCATGGCGGAACCGGCCCGATCGAACTACTGTATCATATAGATATCTTGAGCCATGCCTTATCAAGATCGCCATCCATATAATACAGCTCTACAGGAAGACCCGATAGAAGAATTAGTTTTTGTAATGCAAAATATTCCATATCCAGATAAATTTACCAAGCTCAGCGTTAACGAGTTTCACTATTCTCACATATCTGCAGAGCCGTGAAGCAAATCTCTACAAGGTGTGCCAAATATTCCCGTATATTTTCGTTAGCTTCAAATATATGAATACTGGCGGGTACTCCGTAGCCTTGGCCAGGACAAGTTTTCTGCTTAACATGATAGATCTCCCCGTACTATCTTGAACTCCACGTATATTTAAAAATATGTTTAAAGTCCATCAAAAAATCAACCAAAATTTGAAATCAACGGCTTATGCCCATGTTAGTCAAAGATCTTGGAAAATGAGTTTTAAGCGACAAACAAAAAAGTTGCAAAGATGAACAGATCTTTAAAAATGAGTTTGAGGAAACTGTTTTAAGCCCCTTCTTAGTGTGCATCTCGTTTGTTTTCTACCTTTTTGTTTTTTCTACTAATTTTTATACTATACTTTTTTTTTATACTAAACTCAAATGGGTAAAAGGGCACATTGTATATTTTTATGCAAATGTATGCAACCGCCTAAAGAAGAATGTGCGACCCCGTAAAGTAACCGAGTATGAATGCGTGGATCTCAAAAACCATAAGAGCTATTGACGTGAAGTTTTCAACGTAGAGTACGATAACTTGTTCATGAAATCGATACAAATGTATACCGAAATCCTGTTTTTGAGCATATCTCCGAACTTATTGGAGCTAGAGGCACCAAATCTGTTCCCCACAAAATGTAAGAAATTAATAGGTTTAGTCTTGGGCTTTATTATTTACATGTCATATTCATGCCCTAAAAACTCCATAAACACGGAAATAGTGTAGGGAAACTCCTAGTCGGGCACTCCCGACTAGAGCACTCTTAATTACATGCATGTCATGTATTTTCCATAGCAATAATAGAATTAAAGTATGTTCTGGATAGAGATATTATTATAATTGCTTGCAATTAATTAAAGGACTTACACATTCTCGTCTTTGATGAAATTATCAATAAGCTCAACTTACATTTGTAAGTGTGTCGTGCTCGTATCGCGTGGCAGGCATCATTCAATCGTGGGGCATCTCAGCATTTATCCAACAAGCCGTATTTCGCGCATTCGCGCTTCTTTCAATCTGATAGACTAGACAGATTGCCTGTCGTTCGCCTGCCATTGAAGCTGAAGCGATTTCAATTGAATTTAAGCGACAACGACATTTTTGTGCCTCTGCGAGGGATTTTCGTATTTTAAAAAGAAATTGAGGACGAACAAGGAGAACAGGAGGTATGAGAGCGTTCATGGCAAGCAATCAGAGAAAGCAAGAGCAGCAGCAGCAAAGAAGCAGAAAACGAAAATCTGGAACTGTCAAGCAGAGGCCTATAGATAAAACTACTCGTACCGTGCCCGTAGCCAGTGGCCCAGTGGCCCAAGAGCATGGGCGGCACTTAATATGGTCGCGAGGGCGGCAACTCCTGCGACATCCACTCAACACACATGCACTCAGTGTGAAGGACAATGTGAATGAAATTGAATGCCTGGAAGTTTTACACAGACATCTACAAAGCCAATGCTTTACTTAAATAAAGACGGAGTTTGATCGACGAGTAGGTAGCATGTGACACTGAAGCTCGAAAATTATAAACCTATTGCAAAGCGGCACATATTTTATTGCGGCACATTATCATTGTTTGCATTGCTATTAACATATTTAAGAACTATCAACACAAATTATAGTACCGTTTGCTGTTTTGCTTATTTCGAAGCTAGCCTTATTTTTTTTTATTTTGGAAAGGGGGAACATGGCGTAGGTTACCTTTAAAGACTTCCGAGAGCATCGTCATCATAAATTGTAAAACCTGTAGCATGCCCTAGCTCACCTAACGGATCGACCTTTGGGCGATGGCCTGCCTCATAATTCATGCGACGTTAGCTGGCCAATCAATAAAATTTCACGGTGCTGTAATCAAAGCATGTGATATTAGTGTAAAGTTGAATGAATCCATGTGCGGCATCGTCTCTGCCAGATCAGACCAAGCCACTGACACAGGCAACGGCAGGCAGCGCCAAAACGAAAACCAGTTCCAAAACAAGCCAGTCAGTCAGCCAGACAGACAGACGGCCGTCGAGGTAGCTCGGGAGCTGTGTGGCTTTTGTGTGAAATGCTCAAATGATAAGGTCGCTCGTTGAGTTGAATCAACAGTTTGCCAATGCCCGCCGCGTCACTTGCTAATTTTAACAGAGTGCAAGCGACGCAGCTGGGCGGTGAAAGGGGTAAGCCCAACCCAAATTATATATATATATATATATATATATTGATAATAAAAAAGGAAAAAAATCTCTCATATACCACCAGCGAGTTTCATCTGCAACCTGGGAAAATTATTTTTGTGCAGCCCGTTTAGTGATGCGTTATGGCAAAGGCCACTTCCACGCCCGAACTGAATTGGCAGGTAAGCTCAGGATTTGGCAACGACAAAGTTACGAGTGCAAATCGACTGGAAGATTTTTGTGCGTTGGCAAACGAATTATTAAGTTTGCTTCTATGCCAACTCTCCGTCCAGACCGTACACAGTGTTTATTCTTGGCGCGAATTGCAATAATCAAAGAACCTTGAACTATAGGTTGGGGTCGAAATTCTGACACACATGTTGAAATTTTTTGTTGGCACTGACGCTGACTTCGGTCTAATAGCGTCCAAATGCCGGCAAATCGAACATTCCATACAAATTCTAGAATTGCATAAGTCGTCGAGTTGTGCACATGGAAACAAAAAAACGAATATTTGCGTATGCCAAGTACATATTCTTAAACTTTGCTTAGAATAGCTAATCAACAAAATTTAAATGTCGAAGGTTCTTCTCTACTTACTGTCAGACAGGACAAACAGTTTTATATATAGAGATTGATTTATTATCTATTAAACATCAATCTTTATATTAAATTGTACTCATATTTAATATTGGAAGCTTCCTGCCATATTTGTCTTTCCAATAAAGCTTACATGTATCTTGAAACTTGTATACATGAAGGTCTTGGTCTTTGCAACAGGCACCAGTTAATTAAAACGTTAATATTTCAAGTTATATAGTATTTTTATTAATAGAATATCGTAAGTTCAATTAACATAGGGAAAAACAAAAATGCAAGCGTTTATTTTTATTGATCATATTATTTTTAGTGTAGAGTCGTCATTAATAAAGGAGTTTTTGAAGCATAGGCTACCCTGACACAGATAATGCTATATCCTGGGATATGTATGTGGACTCCCACAGTTTAATTGTCTGAAAAAAATTTAAATACAATACAGTGTTAGAGATATTTTCGAACATAACCTTATCCATATTGATGGAAAATATAAATTCTGTAAAATATTTAATTTCCCTCTTAAAGTTTACTGCCTGTCGCTTAATTTAGAGCTGCATAAAATGCGATTACAGTGTTCTGCAATATTCTTAAATTGACCTTAAAGATTCAGCGAGCAGCAAGCCAGCAAAAATGGTATGTTCCACTGGAAT